GTCCAGAGGTCGGCAAACCTGGGTAAATGACTCCAAGTGAGGTACAAATGAAATTTTTTTTGGGGGGGGGGTAATGAGGACTCAATAGGCATAAATAAAATAATATTAAAAACGCAGGGAACAATTTTTTTCTGGAAACACTGCAATGTAATGGACGTGCTTAGGAGACGTCATGCCATGTTCAACTCCAAAAAATTTGGCTGCTAAGGCGTTGTCAAATGGCTAAACAGATATTATTTGTTAATTGCCTATTATCCGACTTAACCTTATTTTTTGACACACGTGTTTTTGCTTGGTTTAAATCGATTTAAGTAGTTATTTAATTTAGTTTATTTCAATAGTTCCATTTAAAGTCTAAGATTTTCATTTATTAACCATATTTTAGTTGCTTGCTATTTCAATAATTTGATCAATATAATTTCTCCTACCGAAAGCATGTTCTCGCAGGTAGGTGGGTTGCACATCTCGCATATTTAGCTGATATTTTCGAGTATATGATTGCATTGAACAAAGAATTGCAAAGAAAACAAACAATGTAATTTTCGCCAGAGAAATGATTTCAGTGTTTAGATCAAAGTTTTATATTGGAGACAGAAAGCAGAAGAAAACAAGATAGCCGCCTTTTCCAAGTTCGTTTTTTTGGAGGATTGTCAAAGCACAACATCAAGGATGCAATTATAACGCATGTTACCAAACTCAAAGAGCGGTTCTCTGATTACTTTCCAGATCTTCATATTCACCTACTGTTGGTTGGATGATGAAGTTGCGAAACTGCTGATGTACTAGAAGAACCCCAAGGGTTCGCAGAGTCACTTTTTGAACTTCGATCCAATAACGAGGCACGCATTGAATTTGAAAACAAAGCAGATCCGTCATATTTTTAAATTTCAAGAGCTGCAAAGGCTTTGAAAATTGCACATGAGGACGCAGTCAAAAAATTGCTGTCCTTTGCAACAATCTACCGTTGCCAACAAGGATTTTCCACTATATTGAACATAAAAACAATGCAAAAAAATCGACTGGGACCTGATGACAGTATCCAAA